GCTAAATCTAGCCAGTCAAGACAGTACCGCAACCAAAGGCAGCACTATGTTTAACTCTCACCAAGACTACCTAACCCAACCAATGAACCACTCTACCTGTGAAAATGCTCAAACTGATTCGCAGCCGGATTTCAACCTGTTCCCTGTGAAATCAAAAACTCATGCTCCCATCAATGTACTAGTTTATATCAACGGTAAGAGCATCAGCTTCCAACTTGACACTGGAGCATCTCTAACAGTCATCACAAAGAAGGACTTTGACGCTGTCACAGGAGGATCAGTGCCTCTACAACCATGTCACAAGTGTCTAACAACATACACTGGTGACAATGTTCCGGTAATAGGAGAGTGTATGGTTCATGTAAGTTATAATGGTCAAAGTGTTAAACTTCCTCTTCTTGTGGTTGAAGGAAATGGACCACCATTACTAGGTAGGAACTGGTTAAGTGATCTTAAGTTAAATTGGGAGAGTATATTTTCAGTGATCAAAGCAAGAGAATCTAGTTTTACTTCAATAGATAAAGATATATCTGAAAATGAAAGTGTTTTTGGTAATTCAGGATTACTAAATGATAGAACAGTGAAGATAAGCATTAAAGACACAAATCCAAGATACTGCAAAGCTAGAGTTCCACCTTATGCAATGAGGAATAAAATTGAAAATGAGCTAAGTAGATTGGAATCCAATGGCATCATAAAGAAGGTAGACTATTCCGATTGGGCAACGCCCATTGTGCCAGTGTTAAAGAAGGATGGTTCTGTAAGAATTTGTGGAGACTATAAAGCTACACCGAATAAGCAAATAGAGCTAAATAGGTACCCTATTCCTAACATTGAGGAAATTTCTTTGAATTTGGCAGGAGGAGACAAATTCACTGAATTAGACTTTAGTCATGCTTACACTCAACTAGAACTGCATCCAGATTCAAAAGTCTATACGACAATAAACACACATAAAGGACTCTACCAATATGAAAGACTATGTTTTGGTATATCATCCAGCCCTGGAATTTTCCAGGCTGTCATGGACAGTATTTTTAAGGATATTCCAAATGTTTGTGTTTACTTTGACAATGTGTACATAACTGGTAAGAATGACACTGAACATCTTAAAACACTTGATAAAGTCTTGAAAATAGTTGGTGAAAAAGGTTTAAAGATAAACAAAGATAAATGTCAATTCATGCTGACAGAAATTAGTTTTCTTGGTTATATATTAAGCAAGCAAGGTATCAGACCTCAACCTGAGAAAACAAAAGCCATTAAAGAAGCACCCAAACCTGAAAATACCCAACAACTAAGAACTTTTTTGGGCTTGATAAATTACTATGCAAAGTTCATAGGGAATTGTCTGGTAAACTATCACCACTGTACAAGCTGCTGCAGAAAAATGCAACTTGGCACTGGGGTAAACAACAAGATGCTGCTTTTAATACAGCAAAAGAAGCTTTGTCTTCTGACACCTTACTAACTCACTATGACCCAGGGAAAAGACTTATCTTAACGTGTGATGCTTCACCTGATGGTGTAGGAGCAGTCTTATCCCACATAGATGAAAAGGGTGACAGACCCATTGCTTTTGCCAGTAGATCTTTGAACCAGGCTGAGAAAAATTATTCTCAGTTAGATAGGGAAGGCTTAGGCATCATTTTTGGTGTTAAGAAATTTCATAAGTTTCTGTTTGGTAGGAAGTTCACCATCTTTACAGATCATAAACCATTGCTAGGTTTATTTGGAGAAAACAAAACCCTACCTGAGCATGCCTCACCAAGAATTCAAAGATGGGCTATCACACTAGCCGCATACAATTATGAATTGAGATACAAACCTGGATCTGAGAATAGTGCAGATAGTCTTAGTCGATTACCTTTAAAAAACCAAAGCCTTAGCTATGTACCAGAAGATGTATTTGTTCTCTTCACTATCATGGATAACTCCAATATAAATGTGAATGATATTAAAAGAGAAACACAAAAAGATGAGTGCTTAATAAAAGTATATGAGTACTGTAAGAATGGTCGGCCTGAAGAGTCTGTGAATGATGACTTAAGGCCATATAAAATAAGAAAAATGGAATTAAGTCTAAAAGATGGAGAAGATGCAGTCCATTATCAGTCAGAGTTGCCTAAACAAAGTATTTGTAACTTAATAAATGATTATGGTGATATGGCAATTTCAAATGCTTTTAAAGAGAATACATTAGTAAGAAGGAATGTGATCATCAAACAACTTTGCTAACATCATTAGCACTTACAGAAACTAAAAGGGTAACATCAAAAGAAAAAAGATTTTTGCCATTTAATACACCCACTTCAAATACTGGATATGGTCCAGGATATTACTTTTAAACAGTATTTTTGGTTACTAAAAAGCACTATCAGATTACCTGAGAAAATTGATCAATCAAAGAAATCTATGTCAGTTAAGGATCTGAATAATAGCATAATACTTTCAGATGCCAATTCAAAAATAGTTCCATTAAATCATGACAAGACATCCATTGAAAGAGAATTTGCAGTTAATGATAATGTGTATCTAAGAAATTATGGGAGAAGGGAAAAATGGATACCAGGTCAAATTGTTCAATGTACAGGACCTGTGTCTTATAAAGTAAAAACAAATGATGGACTTATTGCCCGTAGACATGCAGAACAGTTAAAAATAACTTGTGCAGATAATAAGTGTGAATCTATCAATCCCACCAAATCTGATCAGTTCACACCAACTCAGTTTGTTCCACAACCGAGTTCTGTTGATATGAGTGAACCAAGTTGTCTAGAGTCAGAAAATGTAAATTCTGGAATTAATGATTTAGATCCTAGACCTCCTGAGATAGAGAATCCATATGGTCAGAATCTTGAGTCACCAAATCAAAAGCCACTGAGAAGGTCAAGCAGGACAATCAAAGTCCCAAATAAGTTAGACCTATGATTTTAAAGGTCAAAAGGACTTTGACATCATTGTTTTGTATTTTAATTATGTTGTAACATATTGTGCATTGTTTGTAAGGATGTAATCTACCATAGTGTTCATGTTACAATATAATTGGTGATTTTAGGATACTGTAAATTGTTCTATTGAGAGATGTGTTGTGTTTACTAAGGGTAAAGGGATGTAATATAGTGAGACTTGTGAAGTCAAGGGAACTCACTCTTCTTGTATTAGTATTATATTTATACTGTTATCTTGAGTGATGTCCCTTATATGTATATATATATTTGTGTCTCGTGACTTCCGCCCTCTCTCGTTACCATCATGTAGTTGAGGCCAATAAACGTTTTATATACAATCACATGCTTCTATCGTCAATCTATTACAGTTGCGTCTCAGTATTGTGTGTATTATGGTTGCACCCCTCGATGTGTATCCGTCGTGTACGTATGCAACAGTTAATGATAGGTAGAGACAAAGACAAGACGTGTTTGTTTAAATAATGTAACAGTAATTATTCAGACAAAAATTTAATTTGAAAGTTTTTTTCGAATTTATTTAAAACCCTATTAAACCTAAAGCTCTTATAGCATATAATAACTGAAGTTACAGACACAATTATGTAAAACAATAGGTTGTGCACACGTTTATCCAGATCTTCATATTTTAAATTCTGATTGGCAGAGTAGTAAAAAACATTATTTTTGTGTATACAGTATACTGTGAAGTTTTAAGAATGCCTAAAATATGATGCTATACAGTTTTCGATGTTTACCCGCTAGTAACGTTTAAAAGAATAGATTATTTAAAATATCTGGATGAAAGAATTTCGTGTTTCAATAATGCCTAATGTATATCTCCTTATAAACAAATAAAGCGAGAGTGATCTCCCTCTAAACTTTCCCATATATTCATATTTAACACTAAGGTATTTTAGCGCAATCGTGTTATAAACATGGTTTTTATTCATTTTTTTTACATTTTAATTTTTCGTCCACCTAACTTAAAGGGAGTGAGTACCAGTTCCTATTACTGAAAGTCATCAAAAAGGTGACCGAGAATTACAAATTTGATATAATACTTAAATATGAAATTTAATCAATCTAACTTAAACGGTAATGAAGTTATCGTGTTTTAATACACACAGACGGACGGACAAGATTAAAAAACTACATTTTTACGACTTTGGAAGGTTATAATACTTCAAAATTCGTCAACTCGATATAGCGTTTTGCACGATTACAATGCACCACTTTACATTCAATATACGACAAAATGGGAGGTATAAAAGGATGAAAATTTTACATTTTTGTGAACGAAAACTATACTTTATCTGCAGAGTTTCTTCCAGGCATCTCTTCGTGGGGGGGGGGTCTACCGCCCCCGAACGAAATGGAATTTATATAGAAAATATATACTTTTAACAGTTTCTCCCCCCCCCCCCCTTCCCCCCCCCCCTTCTCCGGAAATTTGAGTCCGCCCCCCCCATCCCCCCCCCGAAAATTTCAAGTGTACCCCCGGAGATAAAAGTCTGGAAGAAACACTGTTTATCTATGCTCTGTATAAGATAAAGTCAAAAGTGACTTAGACATTTTACTACTTAATTTCTTGCATATGTACATTTTAACAAATATTAATGGAAAAATGGAAGATATTTTTTTCGGCGAAATCGCAGTATGCTATTGGCATAATTAATGTGGTGAAATAACCAAAGAGTCGACTTTAAATCAAACCTGGATAAGGGTCCATCCACCACCAGCAGTCTTAGTGTCACACAGTACGCGTTTTCCGCCGATGAGTGATTCGAAAACTTCATAGTCATTGAAACATCGCTTCATGGTATTTTTTTCGCAGCCTAGTTTTCCCTAAATGTTTTTTGTAAAGGAAAATATTACTTTTTATGTATTGTATGATTCAGGTTAAATTTTCATTAAATGTTTACATTTCAAGTAAACTGAAAAATGTAATCAGAGAAGTACATTTAAAAAAAAATCTTGATTAGTTTATTGGATTGTTAGTCGTGAAATTAAAAAAAAACAACGGTAAATAAATTTCCAATAAAGACTTACATTCACATTTCCACTTGATGTCAGACATTTTCGAACCTTGCAGCGGGGGGCATCATAAATACCGGTAGGAACAGAACTAGTATCTAATTATATAAACATAAAACAAAATACAAATTTTAAAATAATATAAACGTAATAAAAGCATGACGATGAGATCTCTTTCATATTTTAGGGATCAATTCGTATATTTTAAAAAAGCATATAGGACTATATACATATATATATATATATATATATATATATATATATATATATATATATATATATATATATATATATATATGTGTGTGTGTGTGTGTGTGTAATGCGCTGTGTGTCTGTGAACAAGATAACTAGAGTACCGTTAGTACTAGATTGATAAATTTCATGTATAAGTATTATATCAAATTTGTAGTTCTGTTTCAACTTTTCATGGATTTCCGTTAGCCGATGTTGTAAACGGCAATTCGAACTTTTTAGTAAAGTGTATATGGTGATGGATATATGTATATATATACATGCTATATTTATACATAATTTTATATATATATATATATATATATATATATATATATATATATATATATATATATATATATATATATATATATATAAAATGTGTGTATATATATATATATATATATATATATATATATGTATATACATATATATGTAACATTTAACAGTAACGATGTTTAGAGACGGTTATTGCTACAGCATTGCTTTTTCTATAGTTGGCACGTTGACTTCATGGTGTCACATAAAAAGGCTTTTTAACTATACTGTGTCAGTAAGGTGCTCGTAATATTGCGGGTATAGAGATGGGGGGGGGGGGTCACAATGTTAAAATATTATGGTACGGAACTTACATAAAAAAAATGCTTTCTAGAACTTAGAATTTTACCAACAATTTTTCTGAATATTATTGATATTTTAAATCGCTGGATCAATTAATTAATTTATAAAATAAATTCTTAGATTAAAAAAATAAAATGGATAAATCTAGAGAATGTTTAGAATAAATCCCAGTCTAACCTGCATAGATGAACTGTTGAGAGAACAGCAGAATAGCAAAAAAAAATAAAATCAAACAGTAGAGGCCCATCGCTGTTTACTGGTAGCCAGCAAGTGAAGAAATGGTTGAGATGTTGAGTGTTCGAACTGCTACGTGGCTAATCCTGTGACAGGTTTTGAAGCAATTAGTTTAAGATCTGCAAAATCCTACATTTTGCAAATAGCCAGCTAGGCAGAGGCGTATCCAGGTTTTCGTTGTAGAGGGAGCGAAAAGAGCAAAAAAAAAAAGGCGCCGAATTTTCAACACGTTCTATATACGTGTATTATATATATATATATATATATATATATATATATATATATATATATATATATATATATATATATATATATATATATATATATATATATATATATATATATATATAATTACTAGCTGTATGTCATTACTTCGCTATGATGTAAAATAAATTGAAAGTAGCACTCTGAAGAATTAAGAAAAAACACACAATGTAGGCCGACAAAACCAAAATTGTATCAATCTAAACAAAAAAAAAAGTACACACACTACAACAAAAAACAATGAACGTAACACAATCTGTTTTGTAATTCTTGTAAAAAAAAATCTTACATAATAATTCCTGGGAAATTATTTAAGACAAGCGAAATAGGGGAAATAATCACTCTCTTAATATTAATATTTATATGTCTACACATTTAATTATAAATATTAAAACAGATAAATAATTACTTTAGAATATAATGAAATTGTTTAACACTATTTGTGTTTACAAAATGTTTTTGTCTGTAATCAGAATTAAATATATCGTCATCATAAATGCTTAAGTATTACAGCATAATGAAAGTTTTTGAAATCAGAGTTGGTATAAAACCACGCTTTTCGAATTAGTAGAAAGCAGTCGGAATAACAGCCTACATTTAACTAAATGTCGGTCTTTTAGTTCAGATCATATTTTTTTAATTAACTACTGCTTCTTTGTGTTCTTTAAAGATCATTTTATAACATAGTGATAGGTATGGGTTAGATCACTGTATTGATCACACACCCTTTTACTGGTAATTGCAAAAATAATATTCACATATTTTTACGTTTAAAAAGCTAATTTTCTGACGGCAGGGTACTTTGGTACATCATTACGCGTTTTCCCAAAAGTATTTTACAGATCAGTTCGGGGTGGGTTGGGGGGTGAGGGGTGGGTTCAACTTCATTCACCACTGTCCGGTCACTTTAGGTCAATTATCCAAACCAGTGTATACCTAGGTGTGACATTAATGTCGCTCTACACAATTGTGGTGGTGAGGTGGGGGGGGGGGGGGGAGATAACCAACTCAGAGTGAACATAGCGTCAGTTTTTAGATGACTGTTCTAAACATACATATAAATTACACATGTATAATGATTCAGAAATAGATTTAAATAAGTAGCAGTGGTATTATGACAATATTTTTTTACAGAGGGGTCCATGGGGAATGGGGGGTTGTAACTGTTTCATATAATTTGTAATCGTAATCACTATCGCCCAAACTGTCATAATACTACTACTTCATCGTGATGACGTTGTTGACCTTGTCAAAATTTCCCCACCGCTACGCAGCTCGCCCATAAGTAAATTTAAATAGAGGTGCCACATCAGTTGTATTTGTTTCTGTATTGTAATTTTAAAAAAAATGAATAACACGATTCAAACTGTATACATAAAGTAATTATCTGTGAAGTTTTATGTATAACATTTTCTAATTCAATTATTCGTAAGCAAATACGTTATACAGTTGCCTTAAACTTAACACCCCTCTTGCCAAGTGGTACTAACCGTAGAGGTTTTTTAAACATTGCAATGCATCGTAATGGTTACGTTTAGAATGGAAAACTGATGCAGCTGTTAATACGTGTTGTAAACGTAGACACTACTAGACTAGTACAACAATGCTTAATTGCCTTATGAAAAGAAATCTTGTGATTTACATGTGCCGACCAAAACTATTTTTTAACAAATATCATTGTTTAAAACTTTGAGTTTAAAAAGTTTTCAAAAAGGCGCCACTTTGCTGAACATGGCCAGAGGGGGAGCGGCAGCTCCCCCTGCCCCCCCCCCCCCAGCTGCTAGGATTGAGTTGCCGATAAGATGGTAAAATCTACTACTCAAGTGGGCCATACACCAGGGGCAGGCGAGCTACTATAATCGTTAACTATTTTGTTTATTTTAATTAATTCCGCTTTGGAAAAAAGGCCACAAGTCTAATATACATGATAAGTAACGCATTTATGAAACCCTTAAAATGTTGAATCACTGGAGCACATGCATCATGTTGGAGGCTCAGAGAATATAAAAAGCACCACAAAACACACTGAGGAAAAAAAAACAAATATATTTTTAATCTAGGCAAGGAGGCTGGAGATGAAAGCCACTAAGTCCAAACTTCTGACTTGGTTTAAGCTCAGTTGGGAAGATCCTAATGCTCCTGATTATTTATATATTGAAATCCTCGAACACTATACATGGGATGATAAAAACTCCAAATAGAATCCGCATCTTAGGGGACACGAAACAACAATTAGAAGAATGCATTCAGTCATTTTCTTCGCATTGTTCTTCCAATGTTAAGGGCACCACATCATTCACTGAACTCAGAAAGATTGAAAGAAATTTTACCCTTTTGCAGGAAGTATGCATTGTAAAGGGTTTGGCTGATGATGACTCGAATAGGATACTGTTATGATGCGAGCTCTTGTACAGGGTCGATGCTGAACGTGGACGAACAAAGTAGGACGATCGAATATAGATGAGACAAGGCGGCTTTCTTCATTTCTATAACTTATTACACAAACTTTACGACGACAGAAGGACGACTACTTCCACACCCACACATGACGAGAACAAGACCAAGACTGGCTTCTACTATCTTCCTAACAACCAAAACATACTCTCCTACGTTTCATCCTTATTTCTTTTATCACGCATTCAGAATCAGTTATTAATCACACTACACACATACTCTCAAACCATCAACATCTTTATTAAACCCGTTCAAACACACACATACTCTCGGACTCATTCAATACACTTAACTCCATTCACAACAGACACGTGCTCAGCTGAAGCTTCCACCCATCAAAATAAGGGAAATTGAGGCAGTTGTTTGCTTTTACTTGCATGATGTGTGAGCCCTCTGATTCAACAGCATTATTCGACAGACATACAAAACCTCTGATGGAAGACTTTGAAAAACTATTACCAGGTTGAGATATAACTTTATTTTTAAACATATTTAATTTCTAATTTTTCCAAGACGGATTGGCTCTCCACATCTGCCGACAGAAGGTTCTAGGCGAAAATCAGTCAATGTTTTTCTATAAGTCAGAAAGGCATATTTTATTTTCTTTAATGTCCTCTCTACATCTACATCTATCTATAACTGAATGAGTATGCGTATGTGTATGCGTATGCGTATGCCATTACGAATGCGTGTGCGTATGCGTGTGTGTCTCTGTATGAAACGGCGTCTGTGTCTGTGTCTGTGTCTGTGTCTGTGTCTGTGTCTGTGTCTGTGTCTGTGTCTGTGTCTGTGTCTGTGTCTGTGTCTGTGTCTGTGTCTGTGTCTGTGCCTGTGCCTGTGCCTGTGCCTGTGTCTGTGTCTGTGTCAGTGTCTGTGTCTGTGTCTGTGTCTGTGTCTGTGTCTGTCTGTGTCTGTGTCTGTGTCTGTGCCTGTGTCTGTGTCTGTGTCTGTGTCTGTGTCTGTGTCTGTGTCAGTGTCTGTGTCTGTGTCTGTGTCTATGTCTGTGTCTGTGTCTGTATCTGTGTATGTGTCTGTGTCGGTGTCTGTGTCTGTGTCGGTGTCTGTGTTTGTGTCTGTGTCTGTGTCTGTGCCTGTGCCTGTGCCTGTGCCTGTGCATGTGCCTGTGTCTGTTTCTGTGTCTGTGTCTGTGTCAATGTCTATGCCTATAAGTGGATGTTTATAACCCATAGCTTGGAGCGTTGACAATTGTAAAATTAAAAGCTTAATGTGTTATTGATC